CCGTTTTATCATTTTGTTTATGCAGTTTTCTGTAAATATACGTTTCCGCTTATCATAAACGCCTCTTTCATGTGATTGGTCCGTTCAAGGTCGTTTGCTGATTGGTTGTTACTGGTGTCGAAAGTTTAACTTTGCCGACTGGCCATTGGATCAGTCGGGTAGCTAGCTCGCCTTGTAACTAGAAGGTCCTGGGTTTGAACCCTGGTGGTGGGTGCGTAATGCTGAAGAGTTCCAGATAAGCATCGTACTTAAGAGAATCAAAGATGCACAGGAAGCAGAACAAGCTGGATTCAGGAAGGGCAATAATGTGCTGATCAAATTGCAATTGTACGCATCGTCACCCCGGAACAAAGCGTATAATGGCAGTCAAACCACTACCTCAATTTCATCGACTTCGAGAAGTCCTTCAACAGACAGCATTGATCGCGAAGTAATTTGGAAACCACATCAACACCATGGCGTGCAGTGCCCGAGTCTTTATGAATGTCATTCCACAGCTAGATGACAATGCTATGTACCAGGTGTTCTACAGTGGAAAACTCAGTGGGGCATTTGAAGTGAAAATAGCAGTAAGACAAGGGTGGCTACCTTTTGTCACTGATGATACTTCCAGTTTTGTTGGACCGGATTATGTGCCAGACTGTTCACAAGGAGTGATAAGACAGGAACACGTTGGACGACCGATAAGAAGAGTCTAAAAGATCCGGATTTCGAAGATTATATGTGTGTTATATCTCATAAATTCAAAGAATTGCAGGTGGAAACCAACAAACCGAGTAAGCATACTGATAGCGAAGATGGGAACCCAGGTGATCATAAGAAAGACGGTCAGAAGTGATGAAGATAATCAACCAACCAATAACAACAGCAAGAATAACAACCAGCATCAATAACCAATGGGAGAGATATGACAAAGGGGACTTCTTTCACTTATCCAACCAGGAAGCACGATTTCAACCACAAGCAGGCGGTGCACGGATGAAGAATTCAAAGCCAGCCATCCAGGCACAATCGGAAAGGCAAGAAACGCCTTCATCAACGTGAAATCAGTCTGGAAATCTTCTGTACTGCACTCAGTCAGCGTAAAGAACAAGATTTTGATTTTCAATGCAGATGTAAATTCAGTCACTCCGTTCTTCTGTTTGGGTCAGAAACTTGCACTGCGTGTGAGTCACAGCAGACGTTTATCTATCAACAGCGGTCACCTTCGCTGTCTAGCCGAAAGAATTAGAAACAAGAAACTCTGGCAAGGAACTAACTAAGAGCCGATTGCTCAACAACAGTGTAGGAGAAAATGGAGACGGATTGATCGGGCATAAGTTGAGGAGTCCGTCGAATGACATCGCATTCGTTGCAGGCCCTTGTTCGAGTGGAATCACAATATGAGGGGAAAACTGGGTAGTCAGCGCAAGAGTGATATGGAGGAAATGAGAGATTATGGGCAGTCGTGTGGTCACCTGAGGATGACAGCAGAGCATACAAAGATGTGTTTTAAAGCCGAATGTTCCACTTTGAACCCAAGTCGGTAGTAATATAATAACAAGAGTTTCTTATTGCTAATAATTTATGGATGGCCATCTTATCTTCAGTATGGAGCTAAGGCAGCAGTTAATAAAATTCTGCAACTGGATGTTGGATATGTTTCACCTGCTTCGGAATACCTAAGATTTTCAAGCTGATTTCATAGTGACGGATGTCTATCATGCCTAACCGATTCGGGTTTTGACATCGTCATTCGCGCTACGGCCAATAGTTGTAATGAAGCTGCCTAGATAAGTGAAAGAGGTGACCTCTTTAGACTTTATCCCGCTAATGCTGATCGGTGCGTGCTGTTCACCTGAAGTTCTATCTTTGTTGATTTGACTTGTTGATATTCTCCTGCAATTCTTCTTGTTTGAGCGATATTAGATGTATATGGTCCGATAAGTCTAGATCTTCCAGACTCTCCATACGCAACAAGACAACAAAAATTTCCTGTGTCAATTTAGGGAGCTATAGTTGGAAACACGTATTTAACACTTAAACTCAAACTTATCCATGGAGTCAAACAAAGCCATATTCTTTGCACTGCTGACGTTTTTGATCACTCAAATATATAACCCAGTCAGTTCTTCTATACGGATCAGAAACTTGGCGGGTCAGGTTGCAGACCTTTATCAACAACTGTCTTCGTCGCTCTATACTGAAGATCAAATGGCCGGAAAGAATCACCAACAAGAAACTATGGGAACAAACAAAACAAGAACCAATCTCTCAGTAAATATGCAGGAGAAAGTGGAGATGGATTGGACACTCACTGAGGAGGCCGCTGGGTGACATCGCACGTCAGGCCAGTGCTCGAGTGAAACGCGAAAGGGAAGCGGCGAGTAGGACGTCCAAGGGTGACATAGAGGAGATCGTGTGAAGAAGAAATGAAACAGTATGGAATAACATGAATGCAGGTGGAAAGTACAGCAGAAGACAGAGCAAGTGGAGACGTGTAGTTGAAGGCCTATGTTCCACTAGGAACCCAAGGGAACAATAATAATAACGATGAAAATATATAACCTAAATTTATGCATACAGAAGAAACTTTTCAATCCAATCATCTTATATTTTGGACACAATTCCAAGCCCAACTGTTATCAGTATTTTGCTACTACCTCTATTTAGTGTTTCTGATGTCACAACTGTTAGCATCATTTTCTGATTTACCCAGGTATTCACATTGCCCATCTGTTACATACTATAATTTGGTACTTATCACTTCTCGCTTAACACCAAGGTTTTTCTGAATGCATTTCGATATTGCACAGCTTTTAATTGGTGGTTACTTATCTTCACAAACTTAATTACAGTTTCATTATTCTTCACTATCTCAAAATGTTTTTAAATGTTGTTAACAATATTTCGAAATAAGTTACTGTCAGGTGGAATGTATACGCAAACAAAAGTAACTACATGTAAGTGCGATCGGACAACTGTGTGAATAAACTCGTCGTAAAGACTGTCTTCATTGAACTATGATTGTTCTAATACCTGCATTTCATATATGTTCGCTTCATCCTTATTATTATTCTGTTTTCCTTTCTATTTAATCTGCATTTTTGTTGCTCTTATTTGTGGTTGTGTGGTACACTGTTTTTGTTTTTTGTTGTTTTTTTTATTCCTTTACGTTCCCAGTGGAACATAGGGCTTCAAGCTAGAGGCCTGAAGTTTCAGTAGCAGTAGTGTTTATTCTTACGGGATGGGGTTGCTAGCCACATGCCCAACCTACCCTCTTTACCAGACTTATTACTGGCTTAGCAAGGTAAAGGAGTGCGTCAGCCGGCGATCGAACCCCGGACCACATGCATGGTTGGCCAGAATTCTACCCCTGAGCCACCAACGCACACTTGTTTTGTTTTACGATGTGATTATTTTAAGCCTTGAATCAAGGTGATCCTGATATTAGGCTGATTTTGGGGATCGTCGGTGAGTGATTCTTATGGTTAGAGTTCTGAGCCTACATTATTGGTCATGTGCCACCTGATTCTCAGTTACTTCATTCAGTTGAACCATGGTTAACTTAAGTTTTTCTACACTACTCGTGATGTATCTAGAAAGTTTCTTTGGCTAAGTGGCTGCTATCATCATCATCATCATCAGTCCCTTGACTTTCGTCGTGGGGGTGCTATGACAGTTCGCGCTATCAGTCTTCGCCATTCTTCTCGGTTTAATGCTATTTTCTGTAGCGTATCCAAGAGCATTTCAGTCCACTCTTTTATGTTGTCAAGCCAGCTCTTATTCGGTCTACCTCTCTTTCGTGCTCCTCCTACTGTGCCTTGTAGAATCGTTTTGGACAATGTGTCATGTCTTACCGTGTGGCCGAACCATTGTAGTTTCCGTTTCTTTACGATTGAAAGGAGTGGTTCCTGTTTTCCTGCCAGTCTATGGACCTGGTGTAAGACATATTCATTAGTTTTCCTTTCAAGGTAACTTATTCCTAAGATCCTTCTATAGCTTTTGTTTTCGAAGGCTTGTATTCTTCTTTCTGACTCTGCATTCAGGGTCCAGCTCTCACATCCATATAGGAATACAGAGAGGACCAGTGACGAGTAGAGTTTCATTTTTGCTGAGACGCTGATGTTGCTCTTCCATATTTTCCCTAACTTGGACATGGTGGCAGAGGCTAGGTTTAGTCGAATTTTTATTTCCTTAGTGGATCTTCCATCTTTTGTTAGGGTAGACCCAAGGTATTTGAAAGTTTCAACCTCTTCTAATACATGTCCATCAAGTCTGATACATCTATCTGAGTTGTTTCCTCCGTTAATGAGTATTTTGCTTTTTTCTGTGCTGATTTCCATGCCCACAGATTTGGCTGCAACATCAAGTCTTGAGGTGAGGTCCTGTACTTGATCAATGTTTTCCCCAATGAGGGCTATATCATCAGCAAATCTGAGGTTGGAAATTGGTCTTCCGTTTATGCTAAGTGTCGGTGTAAAGTCATGTAGGGTTTGTGTCATAATATGTTCGAGGAATAAATTAAAGAGGACTGGTGAGAGAATGCACCCTTGGCGTACTCCTATAGTTGTTCTGAAGAACTCACCAGTTTGATTATTTAGAGATACTGCACTACTAGATTTGTTATATAAAGACTTAATAACCTCAATTATGTTTTTATCTATATTGTAGTTATTCATGACTTGCCATAAGCCTTCGTGCCACACACGGTCAAAGGCCTTCTTAAAATCGATAAAGTTGTGTACTAGCATTTTTTGGTGTTGTAGACATTTTTCGTTTAGTACCCTTATGTTAAAAATTTGTTCAGCAGTGCTTCTGCCCGGCCTGAATCCGGCCTGTTCTTCTGAGAGTATTTCCTCTACTTTCTTTTTGAGTCTGTTCAATATTACTTTCAGCATGACTTTACTTGGGTGGCTGATTAAACTTATTGTTCTGTAGTTCTCGCACTGCTTTGCGTCCCCTTTCTTAAATATTGGAATGATTAGTGACTGAGTCCATTCTTTAGGCCATTCTTTTTCTTGCCAGATTTTTTGGCAGGCTGCTTTCAGCCATTTAACTGTTTGTGGTCCACCATGTTTAATTAGTTCTGCCGGTATGTTGTCAATTCCTGGTGATTTATCTCCCTTAAGTGATTTTATTGCTTCCTCTACTTCTGACTCTAGTATGGGTGAATCACCGATCTCCCTATTGTCCCAGCATGAATTGTTTATTAGGCTATAATTGGGGCTTATTTTATGATTGTAGAGTCCCTTACAGTATTCTGTCCACCTTCTAAGGATATCTGCTTCTTCTGTTAAGAGGGTGCCTTTACCATCCTCAATTACGGTTGCTCTATTTAGTTTCGTATTGGTCAGCTTACTCAGTGTTTCGAATGCTTTTTTATTGTTGCCTCCCCTTAAGCTATTATCGATGATATTACATTGTTCAGTAATCCAGCCCTCTTTTGCCCTCTTCATTTTGGAGCGTATTTCTTTGTCTACTGTTCTATACTCTTCCCTGTACTGGGAATTAAGTCCTTTCTTCTTTTTTAGTTCTCTTCTTGTATCACACAGGTTTAAAATATCGTCTGTGACCCATGGTTTGATTTTCTTTCTTTTGTTACCCAGAACTTCTGTTGCTGATTCATGCAGCACTGTTTTAATGGTTTCAGTGAGTGAATCGATATTGTCGTGAATCAAGGTAAGTGCAGCGAACTTGCCCCCTACATTTGCCTTAAACATTTCTGCTATGTTTGGGTCCCTAAGTTTCTCTAGGTCATATCTGATTCGAGGGCTTATTTGTCTGCGGTTCTGTTTTAGTTTTAATTTTATAGTCATTAAAACCATGTCATGATCGCTGCCTATGTCTGCTCCAGGAAAAGTTCTGGTTTTAGCCTTGTTAATGCTTGACTTGAATCTTGCTGGGAACAGAATGTAGTCTATCTGGCTATGTGTTTTGTTGTCAGGTGAGTGCCATGTTGTTTTCCTTGATGTCTTATGAGGGAATAGAGTGTTGGCCAGTGTGAGCTTGTGGCTGCTTGCAAATTCCAGCAGTCTTATTCCTCTCTCATTGGTTTCACCTAATCCAAAACGTCCAGCTGTGCCTGCCCATTGGTCGTATGCATCTTCACCTACCTTAGCATTCCAGTCACCCATGACAATAAGAATGTCTTTTTTCGGAGTCTCATTAATACACTCCTCTAGTTCATCATAGAAGCATTCTACTTCCTCGTCCCGGTATTCAGATGTAGGCGCATAAACTTGTATTATTGTTATGTTAAGTGGTTGAGCCCTAACTCGTAGAGAAATGATTCTATTGTTTACGGGTCTACAGCTTATTACAGAGTTAACTTGTTTTTTGTTTACGATGAAACCCACACCATGTTGGTGTTTCTCTTCGTCCCCACTGTACCATATCTTATGACCCTCTTCTGTAGTTGTTACTCCCGAGCCTGTCCACCTAACTTCTGATAAGCCTAGGATGTCCCATCGGTATTTACTGAGTTCATGGGTCAGTTCTTTTACTTTCCCACAGGCATAAAGCGTTCGAACATTCCATGTTCCTATGACTGTGTCAGCATTTGGGAGTTTTATTAGTTGGTGTGTCTCAGTAGCTAACTTATCACTTCTGCCCTGTGACACGGCAGCAGAAAGCGCGGTCGTTGTTAAACCGGGCCCCGACCGATCCGGCATGGCGTTTACTGATATTGTTCTCATCATAGCATTACACTGGGTTTGATAGGTCTTGACGGCACCCATCTCCTCTCCAAGACCGATTTTTCCTCAGGGTTGTCTCCCGAAGATGGACTGTCTTTCTGGACTCATGAGCTCCATCTGCCCAGTATTGGGTTTGATAGGTCTTGGTGGCACCCATCTCCTGTCCAAGACCGATTTTTCCTCAGGGTTGTCTCCCGAAGATGGACTGTCTTTCTGGACTCATGAGCTCCATCTGCCCAGTATTGGGTTTGATAGGTCTTGGTGGCACCCATCTCCTGTCCAAGACCGATTTTTCCTCAGGGTTGTCTCCCGAAGATGGACTGTCTTTCTGGACTCATGAGCCCCATCTACCCAGTATTGGGTTTGATAGGTCTTGGTGGCACCCATCTCCTAACCAAGACCGATTTTTCCTCAGGGTTGTCTCCCGAAGATGGACTGTCTTTCTAGACTTATGAGCTCCATCTACCCAGTATTGTGTTTGATAGTGCCTGGTGGAAACTATCTCCTCTCTTAGAGCGATGGTACCTAAGGCTTGTCTCCCTAAGGTGGACTTATAATACATACCTTATCTAACTTACCTTACCATGTCTCCGCAACCATAAGCCCTACAACAGCAAGACAGGTACCAATCGATTCGTCTCGTGGCTGCTACCTAATTATTATTATTGTTCCCTTGGGTTCCTAGTGGAACATAGGGCTTCAACTGCACGTCTCCACTTGCTCTGTCTTCTGCTGTACTTTCCACCTGCATCCATGTTTGTCTATACTGTTTCAACTCCTCTCCACACGATCTCCTCTATGTCACCCTTGGACGTCCTACTCGCCGCTTCCCTTTCGCGTTTCACTCGAGCACTGGCCTGACGTGCGATGTCACCCAGCGGCCTCCTCAGTGAGTGTTCAATCCATCTCCACTTTCTCCTGCATATTTACTGAGAGATTGGTTCTTGTTTTGTTTGTTCCCATAGTTTCTTATTGGTGATTCTTTCCGGCCATTTGATCTTCAGTATAGAGCGACGAAGACAGTTGTTGATAAAGGTCGGTGTAACCTGTTGGTAATATTCTTTGTGACCCGCCAAGTTTCTGATTCCTGATAGAAGAACTGACTTGACGTTTGTATTGAAAATCCGAATTTTGTTGTTGATGCTGAGTGACGAAGATTTCCAGATTGGTTTCAGGTTGATGAATGTGTTTCTCGCCTTCCCGATTCTCGATTTGACATCCTCCTCGTCCGTTCCTCCTGAAGTTGAGACAATGCTCCCTAGATAAGTGAATGAAGTAACCTCTCTCAAATCGTTCCTGTTGATGGTGATTGGCGTTGGATGTTGCTGCTGCTGTTGCTGTTAGTTGTTTAACCTCGCCCAGATTACTATCTCACTAGTTTTCTAGCCGGTCCCAAGCCAGGATAAAGAGGGAGGGTTGGGGCGTGGTGCTAGCAACTCCACCCGCAAGACTTAACCAAATTGCTACAGAAACTTCAACGCACAAATTTATTAAAAATTCTAAAAATATAAACAATAACCTTATTTTTCGCTGGAATCGGGGAAGTGAAATGACGCAGGCTGGTAAAAGCCTTTGGGAAGCCAGTCAGCTACCTAATGGCATTGTTGAATTAATTTTGAGTTTTTGATGTTATCATTGTTGAACCAGATCACATATATCGAACAATAAATAATCGTCGTTTGGCTGTCTTTAGGGTATTTTGTGACTGTGAATCTCATAAGGATGTTTCATACAGCTACATAGTAAGAGGCAAAGATCGGTTCCCTACGTTCAGACAAGAGCGGGTCGTTTTTGATCGTCATTATCTGATAGAAATCAGCGTTGGATTTTTGAGTTTAAACAATTCCCTAATATTTTAACTGATCAAAAAAATGCCCGTTGTCATTTTTTTTTAAAAAGAATGGTTACTGAACAAAGAATATTCTTTTAGACAACGCCTTCTTCACCAGGTTCTACAGTTTTATATATACATAATGGTAAATGAATATGTGTTATTATTAGCAACATTAATCTTGTTTAAATAATATCGAATCAATAACAATAATAATTGTATCAATGGTTTCCAGTTCACTATTATCAACGAAACAATACGCACTGAATATCAGAAAAATTGGGAAAGATAATAATACAAATTCATGAATTTATTAGATGCAAATATGTAGATGTATAGAAAGGTAGCCCAGATGTCAAACAGGCCGCCCAGAAAAAAATAGAATGGATAGAATGAATAGAATGAATTTATAGTCTCTACTGAAGGCTGCCAGGACAGTAGTAGTGGCTTCTTTTGCACACAAAGCACTGGTTGATTCACGCGAATAACAATAGACTCAGCTGTTCGAAGCATGCAGTACCTAGGTGTTTCTGGCAATTTATTCGTTCGCCGGTAGATGATAGAGAAGGATTTTTCAATATTAGCTTTGTGGCCAGTTTGGACCAGGTGTCTTAATATCGAGCTACTGATGGTTTTCACTACACCCTTATTTAACCACACTGGTAGATGTTCCGGGCGAGCATGAAAAATCAACTTTTTAGAGTGACAGCCTATATAAATCGCTCCACAACCTCAGTTGAATTGGTAGATACAATCGGAAGTAGCTAGTCTAGTTACTTCATCTTTCAATGGAGGAATAACCATCGGTCATGTAGGGAATAAGAGTTGTAGTTTGCCAGCATTAAAAGTTCTCTGAACTGATTTTCCTAACTTCTTTGTGATTGTTTCGCTAGGGATATAGCCCTTGAATCGCAGTTTTATGTACAAAGGCTTTTTGTTTATGGATAGTGAGTAGTCCTTTACAACTTTCTTAGTCATATGTTTCCTGATGAATTTGTCTGGATAGCTATTTTCAATCAAAGTGTCATATACTCTCCGCAATTTATCTTCAATTACCTCTTCTGAGCATGTAGCTCTAACTCTGTGGCTGAGGAGAGGGACGAAGATATGAAAATGTGTATATTGTCTGTCTGTGTGCTTTTCCTATGCAAATTTCTTTTTATGCTACCATCTGGTTTTCTTGTAAGGAGACTATCCAGGAAGGCAATTCTGTTTCCGGATTCATCTTTGCACATGAATTTCATAGCAGAATGTACTTCACTGAATTCAGTTATTACTGTGTTCCTATCCGAATTATTACCACAAAGAGTAAAGGTGTCATCCATATATCGAAATTAAAATGTGAATTTTCTGACAAGGTTGTTCAGAGGTTTACTTAGAAAGACGTCTGTCAAAATGAAACCCAACAAGTTACTCATTACCACCATATCCACTAGCCTGTTAAGTGTGCCATCAAATTTGAAATTTACTTTCATGGTACACCTTAATAACAATTCTTTTAGGATTTCCGTTGGGATGCCAGTATTTATCCACTGGTTATCCACTTGTACACATATGTAGTTAACTGTTTCTACTAGAGGTACATTTGTGAATAAGGATATTACGTTCATAGATATGATAGTTTTCTCCTTGATATTATTATCTTTGATTTTCTTTTGGTCAAGTTTTGTGACAAGTACCAACAAGTACGAAATCTAGTTCCAAGGTATCCCGCCGATTGCCTGAAACCATTTATGAACAACATTCCTGGGTTTACCGTGATGGTAAGCCACCTAGTATGGTCGCCACATTGGAAACTTGACTGGTGGAATTCGCTCTGCAGTAAACAAAAGGATCAGACACATAACACTAGTTACTAACTAGTACCCAATCAAAAGTATCTAATACAGTTCTACAGGAGCCCGAATAGCTCAGTGATAACGTTTCTGACTGCAGCCCTCACTGGGTGATACGGGTTTGAATCCCAAAAATAATATGAGTTCCTTGAAGATTGCAGATACTACGTCCAAGACTTCCTTTCGATTGCCTGCAACCATCTAAAAACGATAATTCTATATCTTATGTCTAGATAAATTCCCCGCACCAGGAAGAATAATTCCGTAAAAAATAAAGATTTAGTGTATTCCAAAACAAAAATAACAAATTGATCAGTTGAAGAAAGTTTTTCTAAGTCTTAGAAACACTTTTAATTGTTTCATAAGTTTATGAGAGTAATTTATT